GGTGCGGGGGAGGGGGCTGGCAGGGCTCCCTCTCACAGCTCAGAGCAGCGGTCCTGCCGGCTGTAGTGGTCGAACTGGCTCTTCCAGTGGCCCATGTAGGCGCTCCAGCGGTGAAACTCCAGCCGCCACTGCCGCTCTGCCTCCTCAATGTTATCTGGGGAGGAAACGGGGGAGGGGAGGTTAGTGACCCTCCAAGATGGGCCTAGAGCCCCCTTCCCAGAATGGCGCCTTCTCCCTGTCCCCGAACTGCTCACCAGCCCATTGGCTAGGCCGTGTCCCCAACCCGCAAGCCTCTGTCCTCTCACCCCTCCGCCCATAGTGCACCCCGCAACCTCCGCTGGAGCCCGTCCCCTCTGGGCGCTGAATCCCTGGGAGCCCTCCCAGTGACCCTCCAAGATGGGCCTAGAGCCCCCTTCCCAGAATGGCGCCTTCTCCCTGTCCCCGAACTGCTCACCAGCCCATTGGCTAGGCCGTGTCCCCAACCCGCAAGCCTCTGTCCTCTCACCCCTCCGCCCATAGTGCACCCCGCAACCTCCGCTGGAGCCCGTCCCCTCTGGGCGCTGAATCCCTGGGAGCCCTCCCCCATCCTGGAGGCTGGGAATGTAGCCCGGCATCCAGCTAGCGTGGTAGCGTTCATGGCCTCTTCAGCTCAGGTTCCCTTGGCCTGGATGGAGCTCGGATCCTGGCCAGACTCATCCTGAGCTGTTCCGTCCTGGGGGCACGCTCGACCCTGTGCTTGCGTTTTCTTGGCCCTCGGTGTTGCTCTCTCCACCTTGCTCGCTCCGTGCAAGTGGGATATGTCAGGGGCTTCCTAGCACTGTGGCCTGCTCTGTCCTTGGATTCATTACTTCGGTGGGTTGGGACAACCAGCACTGGCAGCCTTCCCTCCAAACTGGCACTGACCAGAGCCGGTCTCCGTCTGAGTGCTCCCCGACTTGAGTTCTGCTCTCCAGAGTCCAGCACCATCAAGCTCTCCCTGGCGACCAGCTGCCGAAACATCCCTATTTCGTGCCCATGCCGCACTTTATGCTTCTGGATGGACAAGCTGCCTCTCCTCAGCTCCCACGGCCGGTGCCTCTCCTCAGCTCCCACGGCCGGTGCCTCTCCTCAGCTCCCACGGCCGGTGCCTCTCCTCAGCTCCCACGGCCGGTGCCTCTCCTCAGCTCCCACGGCCGGTGCCTCTCCTCAGCTCCCACGGCCGGTGCCTCTCCTCAGCTCCCACGGCCGGTGCCTCTCCTCAGCTCCCACGGCCGGTGCCTCTCCTCAGCTCCCACGGCCGGTGCCTCTCCTCAGCTCCCACGGCCGGTGCCTCTCCTCAGCTCCCACGGCCGGTGCCTCTCCTCAGCTCCCACGGCCGGTGCCTCTCCTCAGCTCCCACGGCCGGTGCCTCTCCTCAGCTCCCACGGCCGGTGCCTCTCCTCAGCTCCCACGGCCGGTGCCTCTCCTCAGCTCCCACGGCCGGTGCCTCTCCTCAGCTCCCACGGCCGGTGCCTCTCCTCAGCTCCCACGGCCGGTGCCTCTCCTCAGCTCCCACGGCCGGTGCCTCTCCTCAGCTCCCACGGCCGGTGCCTCTCCTCAGCTCCCACGGCCGGTGCCTCTCCTCAGCTCCCACGGCCGGTGCCTCTCCTCAGCTCCCACGGCCGGTGCCTCTCCTCAGCTCCCACGGCCGGTGCCTCTCCTCAGCTCCCACGGCCGGTGCCTCTCCTCAGCTCCCACGGCCGGTGCCCGCAGACTGCAAGACTCGGCCTAAATCCTCACTCCTGGTCCAGCGCGTTTGGCCACAATGGCATTTCCTGCTGCTAGGAGTCAGGTTTTCCAGTGGTGGCTGCTCTCGGCCCTGCTTGGCTCCGTGACTGGGACTGAAGTGGGCACTTTGGATCTGTTGGCCCGATCTCCAGCCTGTCTCAGATAGCTTGCGGCTCGCCCAATCCGCCCGGGGGCTCTGCGGAGTTTTGGGCTGGGCAGGGAACTTGCTATGTTGTACCCCGCCTGCCTATGGGGTGGGAAGCAGGTGTCGGGTCACACTGGAGCCTGCAGGCGCTTGGCAGGGTCCCCCCAGTGTGGGGCGAGCATGGTGCTGGGGCTCGGTGGAGCCCGTGGAATCTAACTGCTTGGGCGCGAGGGGCATGTTGAGGAGACGCTGCCGCGTGTCCGAGACCAGCCCAGCCTGTGTGCCTGCCCCAGGCGTGCCCCTTCTGGCCCAGTGGGGCTGAGCCAGGCTTCCATCAGCTATTTTACACTCAGCGCCACCCAGTGGCCGAACAGTGCCATGCAGTTTAGCTTCTATTACTGAGCCAGGACTCCCAGGCTCTCGCCCAGCTCTGAGAAGGGATTGGGGGCTGGGAGGTTAGAGCAGGGGGCTGGGAGCCAGGACTCCTGGGCTTTCTCTCTCTGGGAGGGGCATGGGGGCTGGAGGGTCAGAGCTGGGGGGATCAGGCTCCTTTTCTGGGGTGGAAGGGCTCAGAGCCAAACGACCCCTCCCTTCATCCTGAATCTGCAAAGCGGTGTCACCCTAGGGACCTGCTCCCCCCTCATGCATCTCGTCTTCCCACCTGAACCGTGTCCTGCTTCTAGTGGGGAAGGGCCCCTGTCTCTACCCAGGACCCCTCCCCCTGTGCCTCTCATCCTCCCCGACCTTGTGTGTACCTCCTCACTCCAGCCCCCATCTTAGCCCCTCCAACACATTCCCCACAATCCCCTGCTCCCTCCCCACAATCACTTGATAGCGGCTGTGTGTGCATGTGCTGAATCATCAAAGATGCGGACACGACATGCAAAGGGAAACACAGAAAAGTCTTTTATAAATAGCCAGAAACCCCCAGGCAGAGCCATCGGCCGGGCACAGGCAGGTTGGTGGGTGACAGCATCTCCCACCTGGGTGTAGGGGTGTCTGGGTCCCAGGGATCAGGAAAGCCAGTGTGAGTTTGGTGTCCCCCCTCCCTCTGCCTGGCTTGAATCAGTCCCATGCCCCATGCAGAGCTCAGAGCAAGCATGATACAGCAGTCCCCACCGAGAGCCCTCGTGTGCTCACAATGTTGGCATCACACGTGTGTGCACAGGTACTATTACTGTGCAGGCATGCACAGTATTGCTTTGAGCAGTGCTCGTGACTAATGTCAGTGCACGTGTACGCAGTGCTTGTACCATGCATGTCTGTGCACAGGTGCAGTGCATGCAGGGATGCAGTGTGGCTTTGTGCAGTGAGTGTGCACTACCATGGGCAGTGAAGGTGCAGTGATGTGTAAGCATAGGTTTTGTGTCTGGCATACAGTGAGTGTGTAGCATATGCAGTGTGCATGTCCATGCTCATGCCAGTGTGCACATAGTGTCATGTCTTTAGACGCAGTGCAGTAAACACATGCAGTGTACATGAGCTCCGTGTACAGTGTTTATGCAGTGAGGAGGCTGTGCTCATGTGTGTCAGTGTGCAGCAGCCGCACATAGTGTATCTGTGTGCAGGGGCTGTGAATAATGTGCAGTGTGCCCAGTGTAGGTGTGAAGTGAATGGGCAGGCAGAGCGTATCAGTGTGCAGTGTGAACTGCATTTAAGAGAAGTGCATGCGTGCCGCGTGTGTGTGCAGTTATTGGGCCATGTGTCAAGGTGTGCAGTGGGTAAGCACACAGCAGTTCTGACTGAAGGGCACATGTGTTGTGACTGCATGCGCACAGGGGTGTACATGTTCAGTAGTTGTGCAGTGCACTGTGCATGCAGTGAGTGTGCAGTGCATGGCAGTGTGCAGTGTGCACGCAGTGGATAGGTGGGTGCATGGTGGGTGTGTCTGCAGTGTGCACATTGTGTCTGTGTGTGCACAGGAGTGCAGATGCACAGTGGTTTTGCAGTGTGTGTCAGTGTGCAGTGTGTGCGTGTGCAGTGTGCACGCATGGGAGGTGTGACTGCAGAGCACACGTGTTGTGTCTGCATGCACACAGGGGTGCAGACATGCCTCGGCTGTGCAGCATGCAACAAAGCTTCTGCCACCCAACCCCCAGCTCCAGTTTTCCCGCCGACGGCCCCGGGGGGCCTAGCAGCAGCAGCAGCGCAGAAGAAGCTGCCAGTCACAGCCAGAGCGTTAAAATCCTGGCCAGGAAATGGCCGGCCCTGGGGCAGGGTGCTGTCCCCATGGCAACAGTTGGGTGCCCTCTTGTGGTCAGGAGTTCCACAGGCCCCAACTGAGTGCCCCAGTGTCTTTTTCAGTGAGTTCTGGCTGGGTGCCCACTAGTGGCCCCCAACTCCCCCAGGCTGAGGCCAGCTCTGCCCTGAGCCAACCCCGGCCCTGGCCAGCCATCTGCATGCAGGATCCGCTCTCAGGGCCGGGGCTGCAGGGCGAGGAGGGGAAGGAGGACAAGGAGGGGCAGAGGGGTTGCGGGGAGCCCCTGTCCCCTGTCAGCGGCAGCGCATGACTCTAGAGGGGAGAAAGAAAAGAGGATGGGGAGTTACACCTGCAGGGCAGGATACCAGACTGGCTAGGGCCATGATTAGGGGGAGGGGAAGTATATTTGGCTTGGCTTGCCTCAGTTTCCCTCTGTGAGCTCCCTGACCACCCCACTCCCATGTCCCCCATCCATCTATCCTTTACCCCACCAGCCAAGGGCTCCCCCATGATGACCCCCTCATGCCCCCCCATGCAAGGTCCCCCCCCATCAGTCCCTCCCCCCAATGCAGCATGCCCCTCCCCAGCATCTCACCAGTGATGTTGAGTAGCTTGGGCAGGAAGCGGTTCCAGAAGGCGCAGACCTGGGCTCGGAGCCCCTGCCCTACAGCCAGGGGGCGCAGGTTCAGCTGCACGTACTGCTGCTGCTGGGACGTGTAGGGGGGCCAGCGGGCCCCCCGCTCCGATGCTTCATTGGGGTTCCTGCCCAGGAAGAGGACAGAGGGTCACACTTGGCTGGGGCCTCCCAACCCACCCACCTACCTCCCAGTGCAGGCAACCCCCTCTTGGGATCCTCAAACCCATCCACCTATACCCAATGCAGGGACCTCCATCCCCAGACTCCGCTCTCCAGGCCCCCCATCCCCTGGCTGGGGCCCCAGCTGGTGCCCGGTACCCGGTGCGGGCGAAGTTGGCCCAGTAGTGCATGATGCGGCGGCTCAGGGCAGCCTCCTCGGCTGTATAGTTGAGGGTGGGCTCGAGGGGCAGGCCGAAGACGAACTCGATCTCGTAGCCATGGGGGACACCCATCCAGGGGGGCCAGAGCATGTTGGAGGCGCGGTGGTCAAAGAGGTAGGCGTAGACCCGGGCGCCTTGCTCGGCCAGGCGCAGGGCAAAGTGGGTGACGGGGCAGATGACGTTGTGGTCCCCCACGATGTCGTCCATGGCCTCCCGGTTCTTCACCGGGTTGTCCTGGTCCAGCCAGTCGGTGTAGTGCAGCACCACGGCCTCGGCCGCCAGCTCGTTGGCCTGCGGCACCCCCATGCGCACCCCGCCCAGGAAATCCTCCCGGCTGATCAGACTCTCGTTGTCCTTGCTGAAGCCGGGTGCCCCGTAGATCAGGAAGTAGGTGCCCTCATCCCGCACCACGCCCAGCAGCACCTGGGTCTCCCTGGTGGGGCCGGCGCCTGGCAGGGCTTCAGCAGAGAAATCCCCATCTGCCACGGGCACGAAGGAGAAGCGGAAGACGCTTTGGTCAGGAAATCCTCCCGGCTGATCAGACTCTCGTTGTCCTTGCTGAAGCCGGGTGCCCCGTAGATCAGGAAGTAGGTGCCCTCATCCCGCACCACGCCCAGCAGCACCTGGGTCTCCCTGGTGGGGCCGGCGCCTGGCAGGGCTTCAGCAGAGAAATCCCCATCTGCCACGGGCACGAAGGAGAAGCGGAAGACGCTTTGGTGTGGCGTGTGTGCCCACTGAGGCTGCCCCGGCACTCTCCCCAAAGATCGTCACCGCCTTGGGGTTGCCCCCAAAGACATGAATATTGGTCTGGACCCACTGGAGCGCCAGTCGCAGGGCCAGAAGCCCCATGTTGCCCGGCGCTTCCGGGTTGCCCGAAAGGGCCAGGAACCCGAAGGCGCCAACTCGGTAGTTCATGGAGACCAGCACCAGCTGCTCTGTGTAGGCCAGGTACCGCCCGTCGTAGACGTCCAGTGAGGCAGCCCCGCTGTAGAAGCCCCCGCCGTAGATCCACACCAGCACGGTGGCGTTCTTGGGGCGCGGGGAGGGCACCCACACATTGAGGTAGAGGCAGTCCTCGCTCATTTCCCGGTTGGGATTCCACATCTCTGTGCCGGGGAAGCCGGGGTACAGGGTGTCCACGTACTGGTAGCAGGCGTGACGGTAGGCGCTGGCGTCCAGCACCCCGCTCCAGGCCTTCTTGGGCTCTGGGTGCCGGAAGCGCAGCTTGCCCACGGGTGGCTCGGCATAGGGGATGCCCAGGAAGGCGGAGACGTGGCCGGTGAGCACAGGCACCCGCAAGCCCCGCACCTGCCCTGCCCGGGTGTTGGTGACGAGCTCGTCGGCCCCGGCACACTGCACCAGGGCGGTGCAGAGCAGGAGGGTGGGCGTGGCTCCGGCCATGGCGTGTCTGCAGGGGGAGCAGAGAGACAGATTTAGGGGGAAGCAGGAGATGCCTCCTTACCCAGCAGCAGCCCCTCACCCGCACCCGTGCACAACCCAGTCAGGATGGCCCCCAGCCGCCTGCCCTGATAAGAGACCCACCAGGGGCCTGACCCCACCCACCAGCCCCAGGCAGCTTATCAACTGCATGCAGGGACTGGGGCCCCAGGAGGGCTGTGAGGGCTAGTGGTTAAAGGGGGCTGGGAGCCAGGACTCCCAGTTCTCCCCTTGGCTCTGGGAGGGGAGAGCTTAGAGCAGGAACCCAGGTATCTGGGAGCAGTTCCTGGAGTGGGGGGGCCCCTGGTGTGGGGTTGAAGCTGCGGTATCCATGGGGCATAACCGGGTGCCCTGCCCTTAACACAACCCCCGCCCCACCTTGGCCCATGGTATCGCTGCCCCCATCCCACCCAGCCCACAACGGCTGATGTGTCCAAGCTGCCCCCTTGGGCCCCAGGAGATCCCTAGCCCAGCCCCCCACAGTTCCGGGACACACATGCCACCCGGAGAATCCAGCCTGGGCCCCCTGGACTGCACATGATGGCCTCCTCCGTGTGCAATGCATGACCTCCGCCGCCGCACACGGCTGTGACACACCCTACCGTCCAGCCCCAAAGTGCCACACACAACTCGTCCACCAACAGAGCCACCCCCAAACACAGCATAGCAGGCAGCACACCTGGTACAGACACAACCACCCAGCAAACAACACACCTCTCACCGCATGCACACAAACAACACACCTTTCGCCACACATACACAAAACCACCCAGCACATGCACACCGCACACACACATACACACACACAAAACCGCCCAGCACATTGGGGTATAGACACAACACACAATGCAAACAACACACCTCTCACTGCACGCACACAAAACCACCCAGCACATGCACACCTCACCACAAACACACAACCGCCCAGCACACGCACACACCTCACCTCACACAAAACCACTCAGTACACTGGGGTACACACATAGCCACCCAGCAAACAACACATCTTTCACCACATGCACAAAACCACACAGCATACTGGCAACCCCACACAACCACCCAGCAGTCCAACACACACACACAACCTGACACAACCTGCTCCAGAGAGTAACACGCCAGCCCACCCATTGCACACTCACATCACACCTGTGCACAATCCCCCCTTCCCAGCCAGCGCCACTGGGCCCCTGCACACGCGCTGCCACCTGCCTGGCTCTGAATGCACTTGGGCTTGGACTCTACAGGGCTGGGAAGGGGCAGCCAGAGCCAGTGAGAAACAGGACCTTGATCACAGTGCAAACAGGGTGGCACCAAAATCCTGAGGCTTTGGCAGCGTCTCCTGGGGAAACCGGCTTGTCTGGGCAGCAGGGGCCAGACACAGACACAGAGCCCTGCCTGTTGCCACCTGCCTGGCTCTGAATGCACTTGGGCTTGGACTCTACAGGGCTGGGAAGGGGCAGCCAGAGCCAGTGAGAAACAGGACCTTGATCACAGTGCAAACAGGGTGGCACCAAAATCCTGAGGCTTTGGCAGCGTCTCCTGGGGAAACCGGCTTGTCTGGGCAGCAGGGGCCAGACACAGACACAGAGCCCTGCCTGTGTCC